AATCATCCCCCACAGCTTTTTTGACTCGCACTCAGCGGATCGATTTGGTGTGGAATCAAAATAATTCACCTAAATTTTTAGCTCTTTAACTCAAACGGTTTTCGAGATTTTCAAAAAAACCTGTTTTTTCAATTTTATTTTTATAGTAAAATTCAAAATTAATTATTAATGATGATTTTTTTCGAATTCTTAGAAGTCTAAGACATGAAAAAATAATACGATCATGATTCTTAAACGAAAAGCCGATTTTTAGCGGTGGAAAGAAAATTAAAATCTTCATTTTTTTAACCTTCATGAAATATGTCATTCACTAAAAATCGTCAGAAAATGTCTTTTATACTCCTTTACACTCAGGAATTATTTAGAATTTTTTGAAGTGGTGGAACAATATGAAAAAAATTAAAAACTCATTTTTTTTTAAATCTTCTGTTTTAACTAACTTATAATAATAAATATTTTTGTTTAGTTCAAAAAAGTGAGAAGAAAATATTTTTTCATTAAAAATACATCCTTACCAGAAATAAACATAAAGATTATTATAAAAAAAATCAGTCGAGAAGATTTTAGAAAAAAAAATGAGTTTAATTTTTTTTCATATTTTTTCACCACTTAAAAAAAATTCTTAAAAATTCCTGAATGTAAAAGACATTTTCTGACGATTTTTAATGAGTGACATACTTCACGAAGGGTAAAAAAATGAAAAATCATTAATTATTTTTGAATTTTATTATAAAAATAAAAATAAAATTGAAAAAACAGTTTTTTTTTGAAAAGCTCGCAAATCGATGCAAGACTTCCGCAAGTCTTGGTCTTGACATATTGCATTATGTCGGCCTTACAGAAATTTTCATTGAGTGTCGTTTCTAAGCCTGCTGTGACATCTTATTTTTTCCAACATACCGTATTACTAGAATTTTTTTCATTTTTTTTTTCATTCTTTTTTCATTTTTTTTTTTCAATCATATCTGTGCCACTTAAAAACGACTAGAAATATATGATCAAAAAGTATCTAAGGGAGTAGGCTTAAAATTTGCAAAAAAAATCTCTATCTATCTCTTTTTATTCGAACATAATTTCGATGCCTTAATTGACTTCTGAGAAAAATTCTATTTTACCATGAACTTCACTGTGGGTTATGTAACAGAATGAACGCTCTAATAAGTCAAAATAACTCTTAATTAATTCATTTAATGGCTAGGCGGCATGTTAACTGTTGATTTATGGCGTTAATTGGATCAATTTTGAATATACAGGGCGTTAAAAAACATATTTATCGAAAAAAACTTGTATAGTAACTAATTTTTAATTTTTTAATCCAATCTTGATTTTGGTTTCTTGAAAATTAACCCGGTTAAAAAAACCTTATTCGTTTTTATTATCTGCAAATATTTGGTTTGCTGCTGATTTTCTAAAACCAGTGATTTTTTTCGATGATAAAAATATGAACTAGGGCATCATGTTTCGACATATTATTCTCAGAAAGAAATGAATTATTTAGGACACATCTTATCAGAAAAAATATATAGATAATTAGTGGAAAAAAGATACACGCAATTATTCCGTATGGTCGAAAAAAAAACGGTGTCGAGTTACCTTAGACATAGGGAAAAATCTCGTAATTTCACAGGTAACTTGACGCCGTTTTTTTATTTATGCAGTTTATTACATTTTTAAGTACAGACGTTAAATATTTTAATTACTATCCTGCAATAATCTTATGATTTTACAGAATAATTGCATATATACCTTACAGAAAATTGTCTATTTCCTATTTTTATAAAAATCTGAATTGAACAATTTAAATAAAAAGGCCTTCATTGGTTAAATAGATACATAAAAGCTATTAGTTATGTTATAAGGTATATTAAACTTTTGTCGAGGTTTGTAGTAATTGTATAGTATGCTTTTTAAAGCCTTTGTGTATCGTATTAAACAATTTAAACTTTAAATCAAGTATGATACAGAGTGTCCCATTTTCGTGTGTTTTATAGGGTTTCTTGTTTATGAGTAGAGATACCTATGCTACTTTTTTGTGAAACTATAGATGCTACCTCTAAAACCATTAAATCAAATGATATCGCGCACACTAACGTCCTGGTCGTCCGTTGGTCGTTGCGACCAGTAGACTGCACTAAAATATTATTATTTTCTGCCGCTTGTTGCCGGTTTTCTTCCAAATTAATAATTTTTCAGATGAAATCCCTCAAATTGAACGCACAATATTTTATTTTCTATAAGATATAGTGTTTTAGTGTAGTTTTTGCACACGTGCAGAAAATCCAAGAAATAGTATACAGACTGGATCAAATGGAAACTTAAATCTAGTCCCTTTTTTATCAAGGGTCGATTCTATTAAAAATTCAAAACATTTTTATATGACATACTCTATTTATGGTTGATATGATACCTGTTATTATACCTTCGAGTTTCGATGTTAAAAAATAAAAAAATCATCTTTAAAGTTTTTCTACAACCACTTGTTTTTTTTTATTAAATTAGTTTTTTTAGTTATATTGTAGTCATGTACAAGGAGGACAACTGTATTTTAAATATTATATTTAATTTAACGTTTATCAAACAGGGTCCATCATCATCATCATCATGTAGCCATCGTTGTCCACTGCTGAACGTAGGCCTCCTCCATATTTCTCCATGTCTCTCGATTTTGGGCCGTCATCATCCAATTTCCAGCAATCCTCTTTACATCATCGGTTCAGCGTGTCGGTGGTCTGCCTCTGCTACGTTTATCTGCTCGAGGTCGCCATTCTAACAATCTTCTAGTCCACCTGTCTTTAGATGTTCTCGCCACATGACCTGCCCATCTCCATTTCATTCGAGTTACGTGTTCCACTATGTCTTTAATTTTGTTTTTTGTCTGATAGTGTTATTAGGAATTTTGTCTCTTTTAGTTATTCCAAGCATGACTCTCTCCATGGCTCTCTGGGCTACTCTTAAATTTTCTGCTGACTTTTTCGTTAATGTTAGAGTTTCCGCTCCATATGTAATTACCGGCAAGACGCATTGTTCATAAACTTTCCTCTTCAAGCAATGGGTATATCACTTTTAAAGGTCTCCCGCAGTTTGCCAAAAGCAGCCCAACCCAAACCTATTCTGCGCTGTATCTCGTGTGTTTGGTTGTTTTTTCCGATTTGTATTTCGTGCCCGAGATATTTGTATATATGTGTTTCTTTTATGTCTGCGTCACCTATTCTGATGTTCTGTGTGAGCACTAAGTTTGTCATTATTTGCGTTTTACTCGTATTTATCCGGAGACCGACTTTTAATAAGGCCTGCACTAATTCTTCGAGCATCTGCTTTGAATCTCCGATGTTATGTGAGACAAGGACGATGTTATCTGCGAATAGATGTGTCAACCTTTCACCATCGATATTTATGCCCCTATTCTCCCAAGAGAGTGATTTCATTGCGTATTCAAGGACAGCTGTAAAAATTTAGGCGAAATAGTATCCCCTTGTCGAACTCCTCTGCCTACCTCAATTTTATCTGTTGTTTCGTGAAGTTTTACAGTTTTGGTGGCATTACTATATATGTATTCTATAAGTCTTGTATACCTATAATCTACTCTTCCCTGCTCCAATGCTGCTATTATTGATGTTAATTCTACTGTGTCAAATGCTTTCTGGAAATCAGCGAACACCAATGCTAGGGGCCTGTTGTATTCCACAGATTTTTCTATCAGGACTTTAATTACTTGAAGATGATCGTTTGTTCCATAACCTTTCCTAAAGCCTGCCTGTTCTCTTGGTTGATAGAAATCTAGTTTACGTTCGAGACGTTTGGCAATGATTTTGGTAAACAGCTTATACAAGTGACAAAGAAGGCAAACAGGGTCCATTAGACTATATTTCTACTAGATACATTATTTTTAAAAAAAATTAAGAGTAAAAGTAACTTAAATATTCATAAAAATAGAAGTATTTACTGTTGTAGAATCTTAATAACAATAAAAAAAGAGGAATTTATATTGTAAACATTGAAATAACTGGAAGCTAAACTTTCTACCTGCTTATATTTAGAGCCAGTGTCTAACGACCTTTTTTACGATGGCCTAGGTTTACTTCTAAAGTCGATAAGAGCCATCAGTAGAAGTCCATATCAGTAGAAAAAAGAAACAGAATATCTCCCTTTTCGTTCGGCCTATTTGTTCTGCTTGTGCGTGCGCGCTCGGTTCGTTCAGGCTAAAATGCTCAAGCCTGGACGCACCTTTAGGAACAGTACTGTTTTTGTCCTTTATCGATATAATGCTGAAAATCTCACGAGTTACATGTCTCACTCTACATATATTAAATTACATAGACGTAGCATGTAGAATATTCTGTTATGAAACGACTTATGGAATAGCAGGCATCGCGGATTTGAAAAACATGGAAATAACGACGTTATCGTATAGTCGGGGTTGGAGATTTTACTTACCCTATACCACACCAGTTCAGTATTTATTAACGAAAAATCCAAGAATATTTTAAATGCATTATTTAATATTAGAACATTTAATAAGGTCATAAATAGCAACTTCGCTTTTTAGTTAACTCGGATATTTTAACATTTCTGAAACAATATTTTCTAATTGGTAAAATGTAAAAAATCGTTAGATCTGACAACTCTGTTGAAACTGGTCGTTCATCTGGCCGCAGCTATAAACGCAATGCGTCTAGCCAGCCGACGGCCAGGTCGTTGCGACCTGGTCGTCAGTGAGTTCCTAAAATACAGGGCGAATTTTAAAATGTTTTTATTTTTTTACCCCCATTGTATATTGAATATCTTATAACTAATAATAACTAACTTATAAACATAAAACTAAGCATAAAACACACGAAAAATGGGACACCCTGTACAGTGAACGGTAAAAAAGAACTTTTTATATATTTTTATTCAACACTAGAAAGCTTCTTTGATTCTTTGTAGGCCACGCAGTTTATCCAAACACCCAATTAGACTTTTTTGTTTGTTATTAATTATTTTTTTCTTTTTCTTTTCAGGTAACGGTCAAGATTTCGGCTACGATGGTTCGGAAGGTGAGTTTTTACTTGGTATTCCGGTAAATAACCAGTTTTTTACGTAAATAACATAATAAATTACATATTTTTTGCTGTTTTTGGTTCTCAAAGACCTTAAACTAATTTTATTCCGCTTGACCTATGCAAAAGAAGATGACAAAAGGAAGGTCTACGAACCTGGATTTATGTGTTTTTTTTTATTATTCAAAAGCGTTGTAGTAGGGGAGCTGAAATTAAAATTGCAATTTTATGCAGAATATTATTTGGAACTACTCGAAAGTCATATTTTACCTGCTTTACATGATACCGCTAGGGAAAATCAGGAAGTTTGGTACCAAATGGATGGCTGCCCGGCACATAGTACCCTGGCTGTTTGGGAATATTTAGACAATAGTTTTAACGGAAATGTTATTGGCCTAAATCATACAGTAAATTGGCCAGCAAGGTCTCCTGATATTTCGCCAAATGATTTCTTTCTCTGGGGCCATTTAAAAAACAGGATAAATAAGGATAAAAAATGTCCAAATCTAGACGAGTTAAAAAAATGCTATTTCTGCCGAATGCAATATAATTTCAGTTTACCAACTAGCGAATGTAAGAAGAGAATTTTATGATTTCGTGGGTTATTGTATAGCAGTCGATGGAGGCATATTTGAACGTCTTCTTAAATCCTAAAATTCTAACAATTTAATAATACCTAAATTAATAACTTATTGAATATTGTAATAATACTATAATTAACGTTGTAATTGATTACTTTATTTTACTTTAATTCATATTAATTTGTATTTATAAATACAACTATAAGATTTCCGATGTAGGAATGAGTTTTCAATAATAATAAAGCACTAAATAGGTAAATTTCTGAAATGACAACTTCATTTGACAATTATCTTTTACCTTGACTGGTGCTCATAAGTAAATACAGGGCCATAAGAACAGAGAAATATTTAAAAAGAAATCGGCGATAACGAGCTAATCAAAAATATCTAAAGTTATTCTTTTGAATGTGGGTTTTAGTGCTCTTCAATAAACCTAAATAGAATTATTCTCTAAAATAATTAGTGAAGCCAAAAATTGACCCCATTAAAATTTACATGGGATTTCCTATGTCCCGTCCGACGATGCAACACCCGGTATGTAAGATAACACACTAGTAACATAAATAACTGTTATCTACATTCAAAACAGTTCATATTTATTATATTGATGTTATTTAATTGTACTACTTAATGTCTGTACCTATATTGTCCATAACGATAATTAATTTTCAAATGGCTGTGTGCTGTGTGTAAATGACACTTTTTTGTGTTCCAAGTTTTTGCAAGTCTAACGCTCTTCCCAGGAATTGCGGACTCTATCAATTTTCGGTAGCGTTAGCGCCGTTATAGTTGCTCGAAAAAAATTACAACAATTAAAATTAGGACCACAGATTTTATAAGAACGACAGTGAATGGGTGAACATACAAAAAAAAAATATTTGTAATGTCGATTTTTGCCAAGCTAAACATAATAGCATTTTGCCTTGTGTGCGGCTCTGGAGAAATTCCCCCTGTCGCATCTTTGACCCCCCTACTATTGTGGTCACTGGTCAGTGAATTAATAAATCAGAATGATTGTATTTATTAAGGATATCTAGTAATTATGTAATAAACTACGTAGATGAGGTAAATAATACGTATTATTTATGAGTTGTATAGGAGAAAAAAAAAAGGAATTATAATAGTTGTTAATAATTATTATAATAATTTTCCATGAGATACATTGGGATTATTTTATTGTAAATGTGTAGTTAAACAGAAAGTTATATAATATTACTTTTTTTGTGACATTATTTGAAAGTATCGTAGTTTTTTTTAATATATTAATATTTCTTTTTATTGAAACAATAATACTTAATAATAATAAAATTATTAGAAAGTTGTTATAGTAGGGGAGCTATTATATATTATATATATATATATATATATATATATATATATATATATATATATATATATATATATAATAGGTTATATGATGTATGCTCTTTTACTGGTGAGGAGAGCAGTGTACAGATTTTGAAAAATGTAAAAAATCTCACAAAGAAATGATGTTAATAGTGTATGCACTCGAGTAAATACAGAAAACCCCTTTATTAAGTTATATCCTTATTAGGGTCTCCTCTAATATTAGTTATATCCTTAGGGGACCCCTCTATTATTAATTATATCCTTGTTTTTTGGTTGAAAATATTTTTTTTCCAGTGGCGTTCAATTTTTTTTTTGATATGCGTTAAAATAAAATTAAGAACTCAATATAATTTGCTGATTCTGATTTATGTTCAGTAGATAAATATTAATAGTTATTAAAATTCTTAAAACAATATTATTTGTAATAAAAAAAAACGGCGTCGAAGACGACTGGGAAATGTCAATCGATGATAATTTTGACGAGGTCAATCTCTACACGTCCTTTGACTAAAAATTGACTAAAAATATAGATAGAACGTTTCCAGATACATTTTTTTTTCGAATTTTGAACTACACTATTTAAAAATAACAACCTTCTTAAAGCAGTAAGCGCCATTAAAAAATCAAGAAGAGTACTAGCTAAGTACCTAAATGACGTCTAGGGCTTGACCTCGCCAAAATTATCATCGATTGTCGATCCCCAGCCTTCCATGACGCCGTTTTTTTTTCGATCGTATGGTAGATAAGTTAACATAATTATTTAGTAATAGAATACTGATATGCTACTAAAACAACTATGTAAATGTTATGAAATTGACGTACTTATCCTAGTTATTTTTGACAAGTAGTAAATTAATACGAAAATTTAGGAACAAAAAACTAATTAGTTTATTATAAATGGACTTCATAATTGATTGGTTTACTACTATACTGATCATACATATATTTATAATTACTTACTAGTAAAAAATTGTGCCATTATTTTTCACTTTTTTTGTCAGTGAACCATTATTTTAAGCAATTATTTTTAAGGCTTTTTCTAATATTTACGATAATCTCAGTGTAACTCAATTCCTGACACAATGTTTTTCCACATTTATGCCCAGTAGATTAAAGCTAAGATCTTTGGAATGATTTAACTTTAATGAAGCAAACTTTGGTATCTAATCTCTAATGCATTGAATCTAAAAACAGTTTTAAAAACCTCGCTTAGCCTTTGTATTCAGTGTCCAAAATATAAGAAATATAATTTGTTTCCATTTTTTCTAGGACCTATCCATTGGGGTGAAAAGTATCAGCAATGCGTCGGCAAACACCAAAGTCCTATAGACATAGAATCACAGAACGTCATAGAAAAATCGTTTCCTCCAATAGTTTACGATGGATTCGACCAAAACCTCGAGCAGGTGAATGTCACAAATAATGGCCATACAGGTAATTTTTTATGTATTTATAACCGCATACAGGGTTGGGTAGTGTTGTAAATGGAAATATTGGAAATTTCCAAACGTGTCTCAGAAGCAATATTGGAAATATTGGGAATATTGGAAATATTTTAAAAATTACTTAAATCTTGTCATTAACGATTCAAACCCGATGTTTATTAATATATCTTTCATATTTTGTAACCCTATAAACATTAAACTTACTATAGAACAGTTTTACAAACATATAATATGGTGAATAATCGAGTTTGAGGATTCACCTATTTATTTGCAACCTCGCATTTCTAGTCGTAGTCCCGAGCTCGTAGGTCGTAGCGTAGGGGAATCCCTGATCGACATTCATTTTGCTGTAAAAGCATTTTGTGATATTAGAAGGGTAATTCAGAATAATCTTGCATTGTCCTCACTTGACGACAAAGAAAAATCCGAATTGTTGGAGTTTGTTGATAAAAGAGAAAAATTTGCTATTAAACCCATCCATTATGCTACAGACTTACTAAATCCAAAATCACAAGGTTCTGAACTTGATGAAACCCAAATTCTTTCTGCCATAGAATGCATATATACTTAATATATCAAAAAATAAACTCAATATAAAGGAGCAAGAAATAATAGATGAAATAGCAGATTACCATTGTAGAAGTGGCATGTTGTTGGGAAATAACTTCATATGGAAAAGTAGTTTTGATAACCCAGTCTGCTGGTGGAAGGGACTGTGTTCTTCATCTTCATTATCACAAGTAGCTTCACGAATTTTGATGATGCCAGCCTCTTCGGCTGCTACGGAACGCAGTTTTAGCGTTTATAGGCATATTCATTCAAAAAAGAGAAACAGGCTTACTAATGATAGAGCCGCTAAGTTACTCTATGTACCCCAAAATGAAAACTTGAAGCTGAAGGAAATAGGAAACGGCAATAGATCAATTTTTATTTCCGATACTATTGAAGATTTTGAGGAAGTAGACTGGCAAGAAGATGTTATTGAGTGTGATGCTGATGACAGCGATAAAGATATGCCTGATGCTTTTTTTGACATACTCTATACTATCCATTTGTTAAATAATAAATAAACATTAGCGATATCGTTATATATTATTATATTTCTTGTACTATTCGTTATGATTCAAGTATTTGATGTAAATATAAACTCAAAAACGGCTTACAATATACAAAACTAATTTTCTACGTCTGGACATGTAAAAAAAGTAGAAAATTAATTTTCTACCTACCCAACCCTGACCACATAATATGTAATGTCGTCATTACTGATTTTTAAACTGTTATTTTTATAATAATATAACTAGAGTTTGCGCATCTAGGGGCGGGACCAATATAATCGTGTTCTTGGTGACGCTGATGATGTCTTCTTTCGATGCGGCTACTCTATATATTTTTTTTTAATTTCTAGTGATGCTGTCGATCACAAAAGGCGAACCCCCAACGGTTAGCGGGGGGCCTTTATCAGGAACATACGCCTTCACGCAGTTACATTTTCATTGGGGCCAAAACGACTCCTTGGGATCTGAGAATCAGATCAATCATCAAAGGTTGGTTTATCTAATTATCAAAATAGTTTTATTTTTATGAATAAGGAAATTAATTTTTGTTACAGCTTTCCATTGGAGCTTCATGTTGTCCTGTACAATATACAGTATGAAACATTTAAAAACGCTTTAGATTACGAAGACGGACTGGTTGTTCTGTCATTTTTGTACTCGGTAAGTAGACACAGAATAATATTGTATCGTTTTTTGCTTCACTTTTAAATCTTTAGGAATATCAGTACTTCAGAATGAAAATATCTATTCTGGTGTTCTTTTTTTTTAATTACATGAATAGTATATTGTTTTATTAGGAGTAAAAAGCACACTTTTTGTGGCGAAAAAAAAATTTTTTTTTCAAACGCCACAAATAAGTTTTTAAACAATTTCAAACGTTCCAAATAATATAAAAAAGCACTCTTGCGCACAAAGCCACTTGTGTCTGTGGCTTTTCGTAAACACAATATTATTATCTTAGATTTGTTTTCTTTAATTCTAGGTGTCACACACAAGCAACTCCAAGTACAACCAGTTCGAGGAGGCTCTGGATGCCGTCCGGGACATTCTTGCCAGCAAGGAAATCGACAATTTCGTGTCACTGGACGATTTCGTGGGCATTGACAGGGGAGCCTACTTCACCTATGCAGGATCTTTGACAACTCCGCCATGTTCTGAAGTTGTCACGTGGATAGAGTATCAGAATACTATTCCGGTGTCTAGAGAACAGGTATCTACTAACATCTTTTTATTTTTTTGAATATTTAGTATCGACAAAAATAGGAGTTTCTCTCTACACTGTCCTCTCTTAGATTATCCACATATAAAGTCTCTCCAGCGAAACGATACATGACAGTGACAGTTGTGTCTGTCATTTTAATACACGGGCAAATTGTATCTTCTGTCCCTTTTTTGGTATTCTGTGTCTAAATCTTCTCTAGGGCTCGTTGGACTGACTACGCAATATACCGGGTGTTTTTAGGTGCCAAAAACTATTTTTTACATGTAAAAGAATATTTTGTACGTGTAAATAACTATTTGTTACGCGTAGAAAACTATTTGTGCACGTAAAAACTATTTTTTACGTGTGCAAAACTATTTTTTACTTGCAAATTCTATTTTTTACTTGCAAATTCTATTTTTTACTTGTAAAAAACAATTTTTCATGTGTAAAAATCTATTTTTACGTGTAGAAAGTACGTTTTCTATTTGTACATGTAAAAAACTATTTTTGCGCGTAAAAACTATTTGTCGCACGTAAAAACTATTTTTTACTTGAAAAAATCTATTTTTTACGTGAAAAAAAAACTATTTTTTGGCGTAAAAATCTATTTTTTAAATGTAAAAAGCTATTTTTTACGTGTAAAAAACTATTTATTACGTGTGAGAAATTATTTGTTACGCGTAGAAACCTATTTGTACACGTAAAAAACTATTTTTACGCGTCAAAGTCTATTCGTTACACGTTAAAAACATTCACACTTTTTTGACGTAAAAATCTATTTGTCACACGTAAAGAACTGTTTTTTACTTGCAAAAAACTAATTTTTACCTGAAAAAAAAATATATTTATTACGTGTAAAAATCTATTTTTTACATGTAAAAATATTTTACGTGGTAAAAACTATTTATTACGCGTGGGAAACTATTTGTTACGCGTAGAAACCTATTTATACACGTAAAAACTATTTTTACGCGTAAAAATCTATTTGTTACACGTAAAAAACTATTCGTTACACGTTAAAAAAAATTCCAAGTAAAAAATTATTTTTTACGTTTAAAAAACTATTTCTTACACGTAAAAATCTATTTGTTACACGAAAAAAAAATTTTTTTAAGCATGAAAACTATTTGTTACACGTAAAAAACTAGTCGTTACACGTAAAATCGAAAAAAACGGCGACTAGTTGGATTGGAAACGAGGATCGATGACATTTCCCATATAATTTTACATGTAAAATGACAGCGACCTTCATTTCCAAGCCATCTGTGATTCCTTTTTTTCGATCGTATCGTACATTTCTTCAGCACGTGTGCTACATTACAAGTACATTTTTATTTTTTTTTATTACAGATACACAACTTCCGGTTGCTGTACAGCCACGAAGGACACCTCACGCACAACTTCAGGCCTGTACAGGAGCTACACGACAGATCAATCTACTTCAACAGAAGCGACAGCGTCTACAGCCAGAATCTCAACACAGTATGGGCATTAGTTATTGTGTTTCTATGTGATAAAATATTTAATATAATTTAAGACTAATAATACGTGTAATATATTGTTGAGTGTAAATAAAGAACTATTTATTTTCAACACTGTATATAATTTATTTTCCCTGCAAATGAATTCACCCCAAATAGTTTAATTAAACTAACTAATAATAACTCACAATACACTTTTGAAAACTTTTGACTAAATGGTGGATGTAACTGCCTGCTCCTGGTAGCGAAAAATACCTCCTAGCTTTTATGTGCTCCTGGTACAAATTTAAAAAATCTATTCTATATCTGACATTATTTAAATATCTTGACTAAATGGCGAATGCGCCGCTTACTCCTGGTACCGAAAAATACCTCCTCGCACTCATATGTTCCTGATACAAATTCAATTTTTCTCCGCTTTTGACAAAACCGATCAAAAATAATTTCGACCTGGCAAAATTTGGAGTACCCGACCAACGAGCTCGAACGAGTTAGATTTTTTCGAAAAACGGCCATAACTTCTAAACTATAAGGGCTAGAGAGGAACGGAGGGCGGCATTCGATTCGCCTTTCAACCCTCTATAAGGGTGCATAATTAGGGCGCGATCGGAGACAAAAAAAATCTTTGGGCAAAAATGAAGGAAGGTTAACCCCTTACCTCATTTTTCGCCAAAAATTTTTTTTGTTTCCGATCGCGCCCTCGTCTTGCGCCCTTATAGAGGGTTGAATTGCCTATCGAAAGCCGCCCTCCGTTCCTCTCTAGCCCTTATAGTTTCCGAGATATTAAGGGTTGAAGTTTGGAAACGAGTTCGAAGTGCTAGAGATAGCAGAAATATCGTTGAAAAATGCTTTATTTACGTGTGGTGCTAAATTGGCTCCTTACCTCTTTAAACTTATGCGATCCTGATAGAAATCGTCGATTTTGGACGGGTTTTAAATATTTTTGTACGATTTTGGTCAAAAGTTGGATTTTCTCGGATTTGTATCAGGAGCACATAAGAGCGAGGAGGTAAATACTTAAAATTTTTCGTTCAATTTTTGTCAAAAGTCTGAAATATCAGGGACTTGTATCAGGAGTACATAAAAGCGAGGAGGTAAATACTTCATAAAATTTTTCGCTCAGCTTTAAAAATTTCTTTGTATTTTCAAGAGTCAAAGAAGTATATTTTATTTAATATATTTTATTTCTATCATCTATTTAATTTGTGTAGGGCGTACTAAGGGGGTGGTATTTTTGTCAAATCAAACAACTATAATTCTTAATATATAAAACGTTTATTTAAGACAATATTTATTTTAACAAATTTGGTTCTTTCCTAATTAAAATTAAATTAAGGACGACAGAGTATGTAATTACAAAAAGTAGGGGGTGACGATTCGACTCGGGATCACACGTTCGGAGTCGGGCACGGCGCTGAAGAGCTTCGGTTCGATCTTCTCCGTCGTGGTACATTCCAAAATGCTGGCGATGTTGCCGCATCGGTAGCAGTAGTTGGGGGCGGACCATACGGTGACCAGTTTGTCGTCGAACATGTATTTGTATCCTGAAACAAAGTATATCGTTAGGAAAGTTATAAAGAAATTACTATAGCGACATCTCTCGATAATGTATTTGTGAAAAATAGTTTTTACGTTTAACAAATACCGTATGATCGAATAATGATGTCAATGAAATGACGATCGATGACATTTTCAATATAATTTTACATAAAATGCCAGCGATGTTCATTTCATAGCCATCGCTGACGACGTTTTTATTCGATCATACGGTAGTTTTTTCGTGTAACAAATAGTTTTTTTCGCGTAAAAAATAGGTTTTTACGTGTAACAAATAATTTTATGTGCACAAAAAATATTTTTTTACGTGTAACAAAGAGCTTTTTACGCGTAAAAATTATTTTTTTGTAGGTAAAAAATAGTTTTTTACGTGTATTAAATAATTTTCTAAATAGTTTTTTACGCGCAAAAAAATCGTTTTTTACACGAAAAAAAATATTTCTTGCTTATAACGAATAGTTTTTTCGCGTAAAAAATAGTTCGTGTAATAAATAACTTTAAACAAATAGTTTTTTACGCGTAGCAAATATTTTTTTTCGCGTAAAAAATCGTTTTTTCACGAAAAAAATTGTTTTTTTGCTTGTAACAAATAGTTTTTTTTCGTGTAACCAATAGTTTTTTTACGGAAAAAAACAGTTTTCTTACGGAAAAAAATTGTTTTTACGTGTAATAAATAACTTTAAAGACATAAGATAGTGTTTTACGTGAAACAAAGAGTTTTTTGCGTTTAACAAACAGTTTTTTACGCGTAGCAAATATTTTTATTTCGCGTAAAAAATCGTTTTTTACACGAAAAAAATAGGTTTTTTGCTTGTAACGAATAGTTCTTTTCGTGTAACAAATAGTTTTTTTGCGCGTAAAAAATAGGTTTTTACGGGGAAAAAATAGTTTTTACGTGTAATAAATAATTTTATACGCGAAAAAAATAGTTTTTTTCTTGTAACAAATACATAGTTTTTTACTTTTAACAAATAGTTTATTACGCGTGGTAAATAATTTTTTACAAGTAAAAATAGTTTTTACACGAAAAAAATTGTTTTTGATTGTAACGAATAGTTTTTTTCGTGTAACAAATCGTTTTTTTCGAGTAAAAAATAGTTTTTTACGTGTAACAAATAGTTCTTTACGTGTAAAAAATAATTTTATAGGCGTTAAAAATAGTTGTTTACGTGTAAAAAATAGTTTTTTGCTTGTAACAAATAGTTTTTTATGTTTAACAAATAGTTTTTTACGCGTAGCAAATAATATAACGCGTAAAAAATAGTTTTTTACACGAAAAATAAATGTTTTTTGCTTGTAACAAATAGTTTTTTTTCTATAACAAATAGTTTTTTTCGCGTAAAAAATAGTTTTTTAAGTGTAACAAATAATTTTATACGCGTAAAAAATGGTGTTTTACGCGTAAAAAAAGCTTTAGTAAACGTTAATATGTGTAAATTCTCATATACAAATACAACATAAAAAATAAGATATTGTCTGTAAAATGAGAGGATTCATTACACGGCCAGTTGTGTGTCTGGATTAAATACACTTTCAAAAAAACTGGTCAAAAAATTACACATACCTTCATGAACTAACTGATGTGCTCGACAAATCAAAGTTAAGGCATTTATCGAAATAAAATCTTGAGTCACCTTGGCACCAAACAAGAAACCAGCTCCTCTTGGACTCGTGGCCCTAAAATAACAACAATATTAGCTTGTTAAGACAATAAGAATGCATTTTTACCCACCATGTCTCTACTTCATCAGGATCCGACCATACCAAATCACAAAACGCGCCTTTATGAGGAATTTCTTGATTCCTTTCTAGTTTTCTAATTTGATCTAGGGTTTTTATATCCGGACTCAAACCACCATGTACACAAAGAATTTTTTCATCCACAATCTATAATTAAATAACATAAAAATACACAAAATCTAATCTCAAGTTATTAAAACTTACTGCAGCAACAGTTAAGAGATCAAAAACACTACAGCAATACTTCCAAGCATTCACGTTCCCATATTTAGCCATGCACTCATCATAAAATCCATATACTTGTGTAATTTGTCTACTCTCATGGTTCCCCCTTAACAAAGTAATCTTATTGGGGTATTTAGCTTTTAGAGTAAGTAACCTAGTGAATGTTTCTAAACTGTAATATCCTCGGTCCACAAAATCACCTAGGAATATATAATTTGTATCTGGAACTTGACCTCCTTTCCTGAACAGCTCTTCCAGATCGTAGAACTACAAAGAAACAAAGATATTAATACAATAAACTGATAAAAAACTGAGATAAAACAATGATTATACCTGTCCATGAATGTCACCACAAATCGTAACGGGGGTGGATACAGGCTGGACATTCGATTCTTCAATTAGAATGCTGCTTACGATATCACATAGCTTTTTCAAGTCGTTTTCAGGTAAATATTTACATTGCTGAGCGATTTCTATCCAGTTATCGAGCTCCGAGGACATTTTTGTGTGCTAGAAAATATTTACAAATTTAAAGAGAGGTTGACAAATTTGACATAACAGTTACAACACCACAGAATAATAAATTTTGACATGTCATATGAGAATCCAAAGATAAAAGTTAGGTGGATCGATCATATATCATATATAAAACAGTTTTATGTTCTAAAAATATTCATTTTTAAATAAAAATAAGCTCATTTTGCATCTTAAATCACAAAAATAACATTAAAGAGCGATTATTTTTAATTAATGACTATAAAAAATAACATTTTAAGGCTTCTAACCTCACTTCACGTGATGCAAATAGAAGGCCATTAGTGATTCTAAAATAAGTTATTTAATTCGCGTTGTTATCTACGCAGTTTTTCGTGTTTTTTTTTCACTCTATCCCCACTAAACAGTGATTATGCTAATACGTTTGAGGTCATTCGACTAACCTTCCAGTCGAACGTATTTTTTCGGGCTTGAGAACAGCTAGGTTGTAGTATTTTAGGTCTTAATATTTAAGATAAAAATGGCTTTAATTTATAGAAACGCTATTGCCGTTGCTGATAAGCTAGTGCCTCAGAAACTACAACCTTTATGGCAGCACCCAGCAGGTAGATAAATATCAATATTGACTAGGTAGATAAGATAAATAAGTACATACTTATAAATCTGATTTTTTTAGGTCCAAAAACGATATTCTTTTGGGCACCAGCATTCAAATGGGTTTGTATTTATTTCTAGTATTAATTTAAAACTATTTTTAACTGTTATTTTATTAAAATATTCTAGGGTCTTGTAATAGCCGGTCTGGCAGATTTACAGAGACCGGCAGAAGCAATTAGTCCTAGTCAAACGGCAGCTTTAGCTGCTACAGGTGTGATCTGGTCTCGATATTCCTTAGTTATTATACCGAAGAACTACAGTTTGTTTAGTGTAAATGTATTCGTAGCTGTGACTCAAATCTATCAACTGTACAGAGCTATAAAGTAAGTCTATTTAAGTTTTTTTTTTACTTCTAAGACTCTTAAATGTCTCTTAACAGTAATTTTATATTGTTTTTTGTTCTACTTACAGTTATCAGCGGAGTCAGAAGAAGGTTATTGCAGCTTGAACATATCTTCTTTCTTTGGAGGACGAAAGACTACTTTTATATACTAGAGAACAACTATACTCTTGTTATTAAATTATTTTTTGAATTAAAATTTAAATTTATATAACATCACTGTTTTTTATTAACTTTTTTGAACATGAATTAATATTTGAAAAGAAGAAATCTGTAATTCTGAAATACCAAAATAACAAAAGATTTCTGTAAATTGTCAGAAGTGGCTAGTCATCCGCCAGACGGATAAACAACAGAAAAACTAAAGAACGCATGTAAAAAACTAGTTTTTTACTTATTTTGTACGTAAAATACATATTAACTGTTAAGATTAGTAATTTAATTGATAATTCATACTTTAATTTTGTGTAGAAATCAAAATTTAGGTGAAAAGAATAAAAAACAAATGTTGGAAAGAAAGAAAAACGTCATTTATCTGCTTTTTAATAATTTATTTTCCAGTTTTACGGTTCTTTATCTGTATTTCACCAGGTGTGAATGTAAAAATCCGTAAGAATCATCCACTGAAGTTTCGCACCCTATTTTTTGACACCCCGTATAACCGGACAATTAAGTTATTTGATTCATTCGTTTAGCGGACGGCTAGACACATCGATTTCGACTGCTCCTGTCAGCTTGTCAGCTGTGAAATCTGTCAAATCTGACATTACTTGATAAACACCATTCGAGGTTATTTCATGTTCCTTTTATTTAGGGCATAAAATAGAGACAGACATAAAGCTAGGAGCAGAAAATTGCGAAATCCTTTTCGCAATTCTTGCGCGATCGATAACCAGTGTCAGGCAGTCAGCTGTTCCAGTTGTGCTTTTCGTTTTTAGGTTGGGAGAGAAAGCGCGAGAAATGGCTGCGGGTTGTTGTGGTACCAAGAAGCAGAAGCTGAACAATTCGTCCACGGTGCCCACTACTAATGGTACCACCTCAGCCCCTAGCTACGGCCTGATCAGCGCCAACGGCACAGGAATGGTCGCGTTGCCCGAAATGTGTTTCTTTTGTTTCGACGTGCTCTACTGCCAATTGTACAATTTGGCACCCCCAAAAACGCCACCCTTCAGCAACGACGCTTAGTGAGTACCTTAATTAAACACCTTTTCCTCCAAAAAGGAAAGCGAAAGTTGCCGTAAATGCAGGGGTCATTCAACTGCATTGACTTTTGTGTTTGATGCACTCATTCCTTTGTTCAAAGAATAAACAAAGAAAAATTCCGAAATTATGCATGTACCACGAACTGTTATCTTCAAAATTACTATACAGGGTTACGTAGAATCTAATTTGGAATATATAATACAATTTTTTTAGGTTAAGACTTAATTTTTCTAAAATTAATTCCCTATATTTTAGTCCCCTGTTTGTAACATGGAAAATAGGCAAAGATAAGAGACTGCGAGGGTGTATAGGAACATTTAACGCTATGAACCTCCAGTCAGGGCTGCGAGAGTACGCTATAACCAGTGCTTTTAAAGACTCGCGATTCAGCCCAATTACTAGGGACGAATTTTCGAAATTAAGTGTCTCCGTGTCGATTTTAAGACATTTTGAGGACGGAGACGACTATATGGACTGGGAAGTGGGCACTCATGGAATTCGAATCGAATTTGTTAATGAAAAAGGGAATAAACGTACAGCTACATACCTTCCAGAGGTTGCTTCGGAACAAGGTAAAGATGTTTACTTGTTTTTATAATCTTTTAATGCTTATAACGCCTTTTTAGGGTGGGATAGACTTCAAACTATTGACTCACTCCTAAGAAAAGGAGGTTTTAAGTCGATAATATCCCACGACGTGCGTAGGACCATTAAACTGACACGGTATCAGAGTGAAAAGATTACGGTAAGCTACCAGGACTACATGAACCACTGGAACAGCCAGCGCTGCTAGCAGCTAGTGTGGGGGCGCCCCGCTACGGTCTTCGCGCCCCCACCACCTCCATACTCTCACGTAAGGGCCCATTTTCTTTTATTATTACCTGGGTGTCTACCTAACCTCGAATTTTTACTCTGTATTCTATCAAGGAAACACATTGGAACGCGGTTTTTACTCTGATCAGTGACTAAAGAATACAAGGACCAAATTTGTTACCAATTTAATAAATGTTGTTAATTAGTTTTAATTCAAATTTTTCATGACAGTTTTTGACAAGATACACGAGATATTTTTTCCAAATAGTAGATACCGAGATAGAAATTGTTCTTTCTAATAATAGGGAAAAAATAGAAAACTGTAAGGCAGAGGACTTTCCTATTAAAATTAAGAGCTCAGAGACTTGGAGAGAATTTTTTTGAGGTCTCTACCAATCTTTTTTCAGAGTATGAAATGAAAAAAAACTAGTCGATTTTTTTGACCCACCCCAAAATTGTATTCTTTAGTCGTTGGTTTCCGATCATACTATGGAGTGTAAGAGGTAAGGAGAAATACCTTCGTGCATTAAAAATGGTCATAAAAAAGGAAAGACTTAAGATGGCGTTACTGTAGCAAAAACCTAAAATTTAAAATACGCGTCGAAAATTTTTAGAACAGAAAATGATTCAAACGAGATAAATATTTGACAAAAAAATACAAATTTTTAGACTGATATAAACAATAGAACAATAGACTGATATAAAAATAATTGTTTTATATTCTAAAAAATAAAAACAAAGAGTTTAGCGCCACTGCGGTTATTTGGTGAACCCTTATTCTTCCCATTTTTTTGACCACTTATTCAAATAAAGCCCCATCAGAGATATTTCTCCTCATCTCTACACTCCATAGATCATACACGTCCCTGACGTTTCCAGGTCGGTAGGCACCCCCCTCCGCATTACCGCAGCGCTCTGACCTTGGCCGCCCTTTCAGTCGCCGCCGCCCGCGTACTCCACCAGCGCCGCCCCTCCCACCTTCGTCGTCGTCCAGCCCTCGTCGCCCATGCCACCGCCCTTCGGCCGGTACGTCTTGCCCGCGCCCATGACGCTCTGGTGGCACGAGCAGTACGCCGCGGGCGCCGGCGCGCTAGGCCACGCCTCGCAGTCACGTGACCTCGAGTCGCCGTACAGGGAGGGCGGAGCCACGCTGCCGCCGCCCCTCTATCCGAAACACAAGTGACCCCTGCGGTGCCTGATGCGGTTGTGCTACTGTTCCAAGTTATAGCGCACGTATTTCGTCGGATACCAGTCGATATAGAGCGTAGTAGATACACCTAGGTCATATATAAACGTTCGTGTAAAGTTTTTGATATTATAAACTACAATTATCTCTATTTTTATTTTTTTAAACGTGTGAAATTTCAAAATATAATAGTATATCGTTTTAACAGGAGTAAAAATGATACTTCTTCTGGCGAGGCTATACATTTTTACTCCGAATAGAACATGCTATTTTTTTCAAACGTTCACAAATAATTTTTTAGACCATTTCAAACGTCCCAAATAATATAAAAAGTAATACCTTTTAAGTAATTAATTTCCCAGAATAAACATTGGGTACACTCGTTGAATTTGACACTTAATGTGAGTTTAATAATATATTTTTGTACTTTTGCGCTTAGGCGTTAAAATGACTCTTATATTGTCAATCACGTTGAAAAAATGAATACTTTTGTAGAATTTGAAAAAAAAACAATATAATAGTTATATTCACTGTTGCCAACTCAGTAGAAATCCCACAAAATCTAGTAGGCTTCCCAGAAGCCTAGGAAGGAAATTTTATCGTTACTAGGTCAGTAGGATTATTGGTAGGTTATGTTTTGCAATAATTTCAAGAAATAAAACACCATTTAGCAGACTCAAAATTATTAAAACAGATAGGTACATTGTGAACACCCAAAATTTGATTAAACTAATGCCATCGTTGAACTATAGGTATTCCCAATATCACAAGGGGGATCCCATCGTCTGGGATTTACACAACGTATTTCGCACCCTTCATTCCGCATATACCGTATGATCGAAAATAAAAACGGCGTCAGTCATTTTATATGTAAAATTATATGGGAAATGTCATCGATCGTCATTTCCGAACTAACTGGATGCCGATTTTTTTTCGATCATACGGTATATGCCATCATAATCAAGCTGAGATGAAAGCATAGTTAACAGCCAGCAGGAAAACTATGTTTTCCATTTTTTTTTATTTAATAAAATTGAACTTTTGAAATTTTGGGAAAATTTTGAAGATTTGGTAGGATTCTAGTAGGATTATGGCTCTGATTTAGGACGATTAGCGAAGAGTTGGCAACACTGACATGTTACTAACGATTTTGAAGTAGTTCTTACACACGACGTAATATATATGATCTAGAAAATTAATTAAAATGGGTTTGATATCAGAAAATGTCGCACAAAAATATTTAATAAAGTTACGTGTTGCAATACATACGCTTGATCAGTGGCGTACCATTTTAACTTGTTATTTTTTACATTGATACTGTCTGTTTTTGAAGCTTCTTTTCAAAGATTCATAAAAACATCCTTCTAAACCAAGTCCAGACACAATGTTTTTACAGATTTATACACTTTTTTTGAGTAAAATAAACAATAAAAAAAACCTATATAGTTTAAAATATTGTTAATACTTGTGTGACATTTTTTGTATAAACTCCCACCTCTTACAAAACTATGACAGGAACCGTAGCTAAACCACGTGAGGCACAAGAAGAAAGAAAAAAAAAACACCGAAAACGACCTCTACAATACACAGAGACATAGACTAAAAATGGAAGGCAAAAAAAATGGAGAATCATGATGAGCTCACGAAGAAACCATGTGCCTAGACAGCTACGCACAGACTTTAGTAGTTTGTTTAAATGTCGTGTCATACTTCTAGCGCCATCTGTGATACGGTAGGAACATTCAAGACACCGTTTTTACCACAAAAAAAAAAACAAACAGAATTTAATTATCTTGAAATAAAAATAATGGGCATAGAATGGATAGAGATAACTATTTAATATATAATTTGTCCGGTAAAAGATTATAATATGACAATGACGGTTATTTTGTCAACTGTCATTTTTTTTGACGTGAAAGACTGTCAATGTCATATTTTCTCGTTGGGCAGATTAAACGTACTACATCACATGGTGAAATTTGACAGAGGCCTCAAATAATTTTGCGAAAAAAAAACGTTATGAACTGAAAAAAAAATCGTTATCAGTGGCATATATTAGTCCGACCAATAGTTGTCATTGACGTCATGATCATGCGCGCTTTAGACAGAGAGCATTTTATGATTATTATTACTTGAAGTGTCTAGATTTGTAAAGTGCCGCAATTTCGTCCATTTTGGGTCCATTCGAGGCGGGAAATTTAAAAATTTCAGCACTTATTTTTATATACAACAATCAAAACATATATTTTTGACATTTTCGTTAATTCAGAAAAACAGAAATTATTGAAAGAATTTTTTTTGTTTTATCACTGAAACTCCCCTATACAGGGTAGTCCGAACTATATTCCGGAAACTTCGGCAGAATATGTAAAAAAAGTTCGTATAAATGTACATATGTCCTAAAATGTTTAGTTTCGGAGATACAGGGTGTAGAAGTTTCATTTTTATTTTGATTTTTTCCAAATAATTTCTCAAGAAACGTCAATATTTGGATGAAAGTTGGTGTCTGGGATTTTTTTGACATGAGAAATTTGATTTTGATGCCAATATGACTCCTATTTGTAGGGGGCGCCACCTACATGTATTTTAACTGTTTATTTTTTTATTTAGTAGTTTTATACAGGTACGGACGAAAAGTTATTACTCTTCAAACCAGTTAAAAATATGTAGGTGGCGCCCTCTACAAGTAGGAGTCATAGTGAGATCAAAATCAAATTTCTCATGTCAAAAAACTCCCAGACACCAATTATCATCCAAATATTGACGTTACTTTAAGAATTATTTAGAAAAATAAAAATGAAACTTTAACACCCTGTATCTCAGAGACTAAGCATTTTAGGACATACATTTATACGAACTTTTTTACTTATTTTTATCTTGAAAATATGCTTCCCAAATTTCCGGAATATATTTCGGACCACCCTGTATATAGGAGGAAAATTTAAAAACGAGACTACGATTTTTACGCCAAAATAATGGACAAACAAATTGCGGTACTCTGTATAATCTACGGACTTTGTTATTACTTAAAAAACACTGCCATCTGTCGACCCTGGTGTGTATCACCATATACAGGGGCGATGAGTTTGTTTATCGTTAGTTTTTTGTATAGAAAAAATTCGTTTTTTTTGTCTCGAAAATTCGTATTCTCCCTCACTGTGTTCAGAGAGAATACGGATTTCTTATTGTAACATACCGTATAATCATAAAAATAAAACCTTTTTATTTAAATATAATTTTATTTTACAATTTTATTATGATTTTATTCAAAAATTAATATTTTATTAGATTATAGGTTTTAAAAGGAGGAACTTTGTACAGACATTTTAAGGACATTTTTTATAGTAAAATTTTTGTGATCATACGGTATATCGATCTCAACTTCACTGAGTATCTGAAGTAAATTATGTCAAGAAATATCAAATTAGGTAAAAAATTCTTCATTTTTAGCGATTTCCTATACGCGATCACATTACTCACTAGTTGTATGCTTTTATTAATGTACAGAAAAAATTGTAAATAATATAAATCTATTTTTTCTGATATTTTTTATACAGCATCTAGTATCAAACTAAATAGATTTATATTACCAAAAAAAATATAAATTTAAACAGATACAACATAAAAAATCTCAGGGAACTCAAAAATTAAAATTAAAAAAAAAGTTTTCGGCGAATACTAAGCGGTCCCATCTTTTTAAGTAGAGTTTTTGACGTCATTGCCAGTGGCGTCTCTTTGTTCACTAGCCTTAGTACTCACTGGTTTTGAAAAATTAAGAAAAATTCGATAATCTTAACAAAAAAATTAAATGAGAGAAAAAATATTTTGTTTTGATTTAATATTATAGTTTTTTTTAATGTAAAATTATGTTAATAATGTAGATGGATGTTTTTAAATAATGTGAGGCCATTTGCACTTATGGGTAAGGAATTATAAAACTTAGGTTTTAAGATTAAAATAAATTAAAAATATTTTTTGTGCATGATTTGTTATACATATATTTTTTTCATTTTAAATTTATCTACTAATACTTAGTTTTAAACTTTATAAAGATATACTTGTTTACTATTTATGTAATTTTAGCCGTTTATATCCAATAATAACTGTAATGACTTCATTTTCGGTTTGAAAGATAAAAGTGTGCAAACAAAAAAAAACATATTTCCCATAATTTCTCTTGTTTTATTTTTGCTAATAAAGAAATCAATATTAAGCTTAGAAGTGTTTTCATTTTCTAACATACGTTGAAAAAGAAAACGGCGTCAAAGTAACCTGTGGAATGAAATCGATGATAATTTTGGCGAGGTCAAGCCTCTTTTTCTCCAAGCTTTTTATATCGAGCAAAAATGATTTTTAAATGGTGCAGTTTAAAATTGGAGAAAAAGATTGACCTCGCCAAAAGTATCAATTGTCATTCCTCAACCATCTCTGACAGCGTTTTTTTTTCGATCATGCGTTATTTCGAATATTTGTTGGGTTAATAATGAGCTATGATTTAATGATTTATTAAAAAAATTATCTGTGTGCCTAATTAATAGGTCTATGTTTCTTTTAGAATGTTTATTAAAAAAAAACTAATATATAAATAATATTACTACCTCTATTTCATCACATACTTAGTCTATTCTGAAAGAAGTTCGTCTTCAGGTATAGAAAGTTTCTTATTTATATTGATAATATCTCGAATTTCAAAATACGATAAGGCACTGCCCAAAAAGGCATGCGCCAGAAACATGTACCAAACCTTTTTACTTATCGGCTTAAAAAAACTCTTAAATTCGTTAAATGCTAATTTTGGATCGTTTTTCGGGTCTGGCAAATAGTAAGTTTTGTACCTTTGTGACACCTGCAAAAACAGAATGATTTAGTGCAGTAAAAATGATGTTTTAATGAAACTTACAGCTGCACATCCGAGTGGGGCTAGTATAAGCGGAAAAATGACACCAAACAGCGCCTGAAAAGCTGCTGAACGTAGTTCAATGCATGTTGGACAGGGTGTTTTCATTAGCACAATATCTTTCAAGACAAACTATATCATATAAGTTAAATATATGTTTATCAATATTTCATTAATATAGGAAAATCAATAAACCTTGGTGTGCCTCTCATCAAAATATTTGTCACTGATTTTTCATCTCCATTTTAGACATAATACATTATTACTTTGTCTATTATTATAACACAGACAATTCCGACATCTTTGATGACTTCCACGCCAACTTTTATTGATTTCTCTATATTTATTTTTGATCATACATACTTCGTAGTGGTACAATAAGCTTGATGCAGCAGGCAGTACCACAATGGGCAAATACGTCGACAGTTTTCCGTAATGAAACAGCATCAACTTTTTTCTAAAGTGACTGTTTAAAAACACCCCTGTATATACAGATGCCGCACCAAGAAGGAAGGGACCATACCTTAGAGCAGCCCTAACATATAAACTTTATTATTCGAGCTTTTTAATATTAAATTTACTTGGCTTACACCTCTAATCTACTAGGCCACTTTTTTATAATTTCTATCTGGAAGCCTAGGGCCTGTTCTTCAGTTAAAACTTTGGCATCTTTCGGTAAATCCTTAGAACTGGCTCTTCCAAACGACATCTTTAATTCGTAACTATTCTATAAACTATATTAAATATGTGACATTAATTTAAATAAACTTAGACTGGGAATTATATAAATATCTTCAAAACATTGCTTCAAAATTACCGGACCATGTTTAAAAGTGAGGTTAGAGACAGCTGTCACTGTCAGATGTTTAGGCATTTTCGTGTGGTATAATTATCCATCTGTGGGTCGAATTATATATGATCTATGATTCTAGGCAACTAATTATACACTTATATACTGTATGTTCCTTATTTTCTTTATTAAATACCTATAAATAATTAACTAAACAGACTTAAATTAACTAATTTGCCCTGTAACGCGACTTTTAATACTAATAATCCTTGATTCATTGGAGTTTTGGTTATTTAAATAAATACCAAAACACATGTTGCCATTGAATTCATCAGATAATACTTGTAAAGGTTCTTTTGATATATTTCCTGAATCCTGATCGATGCAGATCATCTGGCAACGGGTACACTTACCTGAAAACTGGAAAACAAGTTGGAATAGTTAAGAAAAATACGGGGGTAGTTTAAAAAGTTTACGACCTGACACAATGTTACACACAAAATTTTTTTTTGGCGTAAAAAATAGTTTTTTACGTGTAACAAAGAGTATTTTACACGTAAAAAATAGTTTTTTGCATGTAACAAATAGTTTTTTACTTATCTTATTTTATTTCGCTGCTTGAGAAGAATTTCTTATTTGTGATTTTATCGTGACGAGATCGGAAACTTTTTGAACTGGCCTCGTAATAATAAAATAATCTATAGGATTACTTTAAAAGGAACGTCGCCAAAAAAGACTCTATCCAAAGCATTCTCGACGAATGGTTTATCGAAATCCACCAGAAAATTTGCCCTGAATCTATTGGCCAACGATCGAAACGAGATATGATCTGATCCCGAGTGGATTTTGTCTTTAAGCCAGCGAATACTGGCGGAGTTTATCATGAGATATTGGGCCTTATTGGCTAAGGACAAAGGTGGCTCATCCTCTGCAAAAACAGAAAAAAACTTTTATATCCTATTTATTAAAATACTTTGTTCTTAAGTGTCAAATTAAACGTCGAACAAAAAACTGTCAAAAATTGGCGTATCATGAAATCGCTTGTATCTCTAATCCTTTAACGAAGAGTTATAAAGCTACTGTATGATAAAAAAAAACGGCGTCCAAGTTGGCTTGGAAATGATGATTGATGACATTCCCCATACAAATTTACAAAAAATAGTTATGAAATGACGGTGATCTTCCTTTCCAGCTCTGACGCTGTTTTTTTTTGTATATGTATTATACAGGGGGGGTCTTAAATAAGTGCAAATACTTTTAGGGGTAGTATATTTTGACCTCAGAATCACGACAATTATGAGATTTTTTTCGCGAGAATAAAATTAAAAGTTTGGATTTTTTTCTAGTTTTTAGTTAAAAAACATAATTTCTTGATAATATATGACAATAAAGGTAATAGATTAAATTTACAAGAACGAAAGCCCATGAAAAGCTCCAGTGGTTCTCAAAATTTAAGCAAAAAATATATTTTTTTAAATTTCGAAAATAAAATAAATCGGTTATTTTGGACTTTTTTCAAAAACGGTAAAGAGAAAATATATTTATTTTATCGAGGTCTACCAACCCTGAAAATATTTGCACTAAGTTAAGACCCACCCTGTATATATACATAAAATGTATAAAAATAGTAGTATAGTCTGTCCAGTGGGAATGACAGTGACAGTCCCTGACAGTGACAGTTCTGTCTGTCATTTTAATCCACATACAAATTGTAATTTCTGTCATTTTTTGAAGTTTGTCTGTCCAAAACTTATTCCCTGACTCCTTGGACAGACTATATACTTTTTCCTTAGGATTTTCATTTAGTAGAAAAATAGACGTCTAACCAACCTATTTCCGATTTTTTTCGGGATATTATTTTATTTCTATCACACTGTTTCAATAATCTTAGACCTGGTTTTTTTAAATTCTCTGATAACCATTCCGCTACATCATCTCCACAATCGTACCCTTGGATTTTGTCACCACACACTTTACTATTACAAAACGTAGTACTATTTCCAGTCCTATTTTCCTCAATTTCCAGAGATATTGATATTTCTTTAGCACCTATTTCAAAATAAATATCAAAAAAAAATATTAGGGAGTATATTCCTGACTTTCAGATTTTTTTTTATAAATTTAGGAATAACCTCCCATATCAAATTATATTGGTACCTTCAAATTTCAGTCTTAATTTCATATTTTCTAGGTCTAAAACAGGTTTAATAAGACACATGCTCTTGACTTGCTTCTGAGAGACGCAACTTCCGTTTGAGTTGACTATCATCCAGGTTCTGTCATATTTTAAGCCTGTCGAAGTAATTTGCCATGAAGTTTTGGGACTGTAAGCCCCACAGGACTTTATTGGGTACAGAAAAATGTTCACCAGTGTACCAGAAAGAATCTATAGAAATCAAATTGCTTAAATTTACTTTTGAATTTAATTTAAATTGAAAGAAGAAAAGAAATAGCCAATTGTAAAATATGAAATGTACATAAAAATTGTTAAACATGTTTTTTTGGTGCGTGAATTTTCAGTATACATCCCTGATTTTTTGTAAATACTTCTTTTTTTATCCTATCTATATACCGGGTGTTGCATCGTCGAGCGGGACATAGGAAATCCCATGTAAATTTTAATGGGGTCAATTATTGGCTTCCCTAATTATTTTAGAGAATAATTCTATTTAGGTTTATTGAAGAGCACTAAAACCCACATTCAAAAGAATAACTTGATATATTTTTGATTAGCCCGTTTACGAGTTATCGCCGATTTCTTTTTAAATATTTCTCCTTTCTTATGGCCTTGTATTTACTTATGAGCACCAGTCAAGGTAAAAGATAACCGTCAAATGAAGTTGTCGTTTCAGAAATTTATCTATTTAGTGCTTTATTATTATTATTAAAAACTCATACCTACATCGAAAATATTAGCCATGAATTACACTACCGAAGAAAAAGTATTGATGATTAAATGGTATTATCAAGGAAATAGTTATCAAAAGGTGTCGGACATGTTTGCTGCTCTGTATCCGAATAGACCGATACCTGGAAAATCTACAATCACAAGGAATATCCAGAGATTTGAGACCAAAGGTACCCTAATAAATAACTGCAGATGTGAAGCAAAGCAGGAACAAAGAGAAGATGCAAGAAATGATACCGACTTGGAAGTTTTATTGTGCGTGGAAGAGAACGATGGAAAGATCAGCACAAGGAAACTTGAGGATGAAATAGAAATAGATCACACTACAGCGTTTCGAATTTTGAAACGACATAAATACTATTCCTTCAAATATGAAAAGCACCAAGAGCTACGAGATGGGGACGAAATACGGCGGCAGGCGTTTTGTTTTGATATGATGGAAAGAGCAAACACGGATAGGGAATTTTTAAAAAACATATGTTTCACTGACGAATGCACGTTTACCTTAAATAATGAATCCAATGTTCAAAATTATCGATATTGGAACAAAGAAAACCAACACAGGTTTGTCGAAACAAGGACGCAATATCCACAGAAATTAAATGTTTGGGCAGGGATATTCGGACACAATATTATCGGGCCATTATTTATTACGCGAAATTTAAATGCAGAATATTATTTGGAACTACTCGAAAATCATATTTTACCTGCTTTACATGATGCCGCTAGGGAAAATCAGGAAGTTTGGTACCAAATGGATGGCTGGCTGGCACATAGTACCCTGGCTGTTCGGGAATATTTAGACAATAGTCTTAACGGAAGCGTTATTGGCCTAAATCATACAGTAAATTGGCCAGCAAGGTCTCCTGATATTTCGCCAAATGATTTCTTTTTCTGGGTCCATTTAAAAAATAGGATATACAAGGATAAAAAATACCCAAATCTAGACGAGTTAAAAAATGCTATTTCTGCCGAATGCAATAGAATTTCAGTTTACCATCTAGCGAATGTAAGAAGAGAATTTTAGGATCGCCTGGGTTATTATCTAGCAGTCGATGGAGGAATATTTGAACATCTTCTTAAATCCTAATGTTCTAACAATTTAACAGTACCTAAATTAATAAGTTATTGAATATTGTAATAATACTATAATTAACCTTGTAATTGATTACTTTATTTTACTTTAATTCATATTAATTTGTATTTATAAATACATCATTAAGATTTCCGATGTAGGAATGAATTTTGAATAATAATAAAGCACTAAGTGGTAAATTTCTGAAATGACAACTTCATTTGACCGTTATCTTTTACCTTGACTGGTGTTCATAAGTAAATACAGGGCCATATTTAAAAAGAAATCGGCGATAACTCGAAAACGAGCTAATCAAAAATATCTAAAGTTATTCTTTTGAATGTGGGTTTTAGTGCTCTTCAATAAACCTAAATAGAATTATTCTCTAAAATAATTAGGGAAGCCAATAATTGAGCCCATTAAAATTTACATGGGATTTTCTATGTCCCGTCCGACGATGCAACACCCTGTATAACAAATATTAGATAAGACAAGAAAAAACATCTAAGGTCTCGTACATAAGCACGATCATCATAAAAAAAGAAGATCTCTTAATCCTGGGGATTTGTCAAGTCTGCTACAGAAACAAGTGCCTATATTGCTTGTAATCTCGTGCACAGTTTTTGATGAAAACTTGATCCCCAAGGAACAGTTTCCTTTTTTTTTTCGACGCTGTTATTTTGTTACGCAATAAACAGTGGAGGGTGTAAGAAAAAAGATATAATCTTTCTGAGAAATATACAGGGCGTTCCAGTTTCCAGTAATACAACAGCTCAAGTTAAAAAAAATAGATGCATACAGAATAGTAAGAAGCTTATTAACATTTTCGGACTGGCAAAAACAGCATCTTGGTACCACTGTTTCTAATATTTCCTACAGTACTGCACATAATCTTATACGAGCCCTAACAACTATATGTTAGGACAAGGTCTTTTTTGCAACAAAAATAGTAATTTGTTAAAACGATTATATTTATTTTGTTTATTATTCTAAATTCAAACATTACAATATGATCTAGACAATTTTACTATATTTTTATAACTTTGCAAACAAATCACTTTTGATAATAGCTTATTTTGACAAAATCAAGCCAAATTTGCTGACAACTATATATTGGGACAGCACAATAAGAAATTTGTTTAATACGGAGTTACATCACTTCTCGCCTTAACAACTGCCTGAACTCTTAATGGCATTGTGTTTACCAAAGATTGGCACATTTGAGGAGAAAAATTATCCCAAATTTCCGGCAGTTTTGTCCGCAAATCAAAAATTGTTCGTTGAGGGTGGTTTCTTAAATATTGCTTCATTTTATGCCACACAGTTTCTATAACAATGAGGTCCGGACTACTTGAAGGATGGGATAGAACTTTTATATTATTATTACCGAACCAATTTTTAGTTGATCTTGCTGAATGGTACGATGCTCCATCTTGTTGGAAAATATAGTCTTCGTTTGGAAACAATTCTTGAGCACTAGGCAAAAGTGAGGTCTCAAGAATATGTTGATATTTTTTGGCGTTAACAGTGCCATGTATAAAATTTAATTTGCCCAAACCTCTTGCTGACATGCAACCCCAAACCATAATCCCCTTAGGAAATTTAACAACCCTCTTTAAGCAATCTTTATGAAAGGCTTCTGCTTTATTTCGTATTATTCGTTTTCGATGATCTCCCACGCAAACATCAAAATTAGACTCATCGCTAAATATGTTAAATTATTCCAATCATTTTGTGTCCACGATAATTTAGATTTTGCCCAATTGTAGCGATTTTTTATTTGAATTTCTGTCAGTAGCGGTTTTTCTTTGGCTTAAATAAGAATTTGTATCAATAATCTTCAGGTAATTGATTATCCACACAAAATAAAGTTTACCTTGTAAAACCCCAGCCCGCATTTGTGGATATATTTTTGGCAACATTCTCTTGATATATTTAAACCAGTTACAGTATTCCATTTAACTGTTACTTCGCGGGTAGAGTACTTGCAAATTTTTACTAAATTTCGTAAATCTCTCTGAGATACAACTTTTGGCCTTCCCGAACTTTTACCTCTAACGTCTACGTTGGCAGATTCGCCGTATTTTTTTATTATATTAAAGACCGTGGTTTTTGGAATACTTAAATCATCAGAAATTTTTCGAATTGTTTTTCCCGTACTGTATTGACGATTGATAATTTCGCGTAGTTTTTAATTTGTAGCTTTTCCACGGACTTTTTACTTTGGATTAAACTAACAAAATTGAAAATTAAAAAAATTTTAATTTCTTACAGTAAATCTCACTACTCAAAGTATCGAGTCACTTACAAGCTGTCAATGCTGAAGTAAACAGTTTGCGACATTTGTGACGTTTATAGCAAAACCGCCTATGATGATATTAATTATTTAAAAATACTTGTCCCAACATTTAGTTGTCAGTAAATTTGTCCTTTTATGAACAAAATCCGCTACTGTAAATATGGATCGATTTACAAATTCATAAAAATATTGTCAAGTTGTTTAGGATATATGGCCTTCTGTCCATAACAAAAAAGTTACAGCGATTTGTTAAAAATGCACATTTTTGAAAAACACCCCGTAACTCCGAAACGGTAACAGATATTGATATGCGGTTTTCACCATCATATTTTTGATGAAAATTGAGCTCCAGACACCGATATTAGTTTTCGTCTATCTCCAATAGAAAAGGGTGTTTCCATTTAAAAGCGTCGAATTTGACCCACCCTGTACATTGTGTGATTTCGATTTTTGCTTATAATTGAAGGAAGAACCGACGAAATATGCAATAATATACAGGGGGTTCCATTTAAAAAACGAAACTTTTTGCCATGTATATTGCTAATGTATATTGTTTTTAAGACAAGGTTATTTTAATTTTTAGGTGCACTGATTGTCTTATAACAATTTTTTTTGCTTTGTTAAAATCTGTTTTTCAGTAAAAACAACTCACCAGAAAATGTACAGACGTTATTTATTATATTCGCGTGTTATATAATAAGCTAAAATCGCAGTTATTCTTTCGTTCACGCTATAATTATATGTAAATAGAGCTAAATTTATGGTCTAGGGGCAATTTTTGCATATTTTGCCGAAATTGCGAATGTATCAAACAAATAGCGATCTAAATAACCCTATTCTGTCCGGCGTACAATAAAATATTGTTTTAGTAAGCAAAAATAAAATATTGCCATCGCTTTAAAACAGTCTAATTTCTCTCTAAAATACTACCCTAATTGAATATTATTTAATTTATTTTGTAAAACTTTCAAAATTTATTAAAAATATCTGTCATATTTTAAAGAAAAAATAACAAAATTACATTAGCATATTGAACACAATATGAACAGGAAAAAAGATCCTATTTCTTTAACCCTGTGATTTTTGTTTAAATATCGTAGATATAGGAGTGTTTTACATGGAGGTTACGTTCATTGTAAACACCCCGTATATTGAAACATACTTTTATTATACAGGGTACTATATAAATTCAAATAATTTTGGGGTTTGTATATTTCAGACCCAAAAATACATCTATGAGTTTTTTTCGCCAAATTTATTTTTTCTAAATTTGAAATTTTTTGAATTTTTTTTTAAATTTCAGTTAAAAAATAATATCTTCATAATATGATGTGTTTTCGCGAACAAAATCTGTGTATTAAAAATAAGAGATGTGCCTTCAAACTCAAGCAACAAACTACATTAATTAGATCTAATAAAATCACTTAAATCTTTTATGAGAACTTCGTAAAGACAGTATGAACAGAAATAAAGATCCTGTTTATTTTCATTGGAACCTACCTTAGTACTTTTTGTTGAATTTTCTTCTAACATTTTCAAACCGAGATCTTTTATAATACTGTTTTTAGTTACAAAGCATCTTTCAATCATATCCAGAAACTTGTCAGCATCTTCAAATGTTGACATGTAACCGAAGGATATTCTTACTGATCCTGTAGGATAACCATCAACCAGGTCGTGTTGATCACCACAAATATGACCTGCCTGAAAAGAAATCCAAGTAAAAGCAAGAATTTGAATATTTTATGGGAATGTTTCACTTTAGGTCCCTAAAATTAAGAAAAAGAAATCTATACTAATATATAAAATCCTTAAGTGACTGACTCACTGATTAATCACGATCCTGCTCAAACCACTCAACGTAAGAAGCTCAATTTTGGCATACAGGTTGATTCTAGGGTGTAGAGGTTCGATAAGAAGGGATCTTTCGAAATTCCAGTTCAAAGGGGGTGAAACCACCCCTCAAATATTACAATATTTTTTATTTAAAAAAGGTCAAGCTTCCGAAAAAACGCTTAAACACGTATATTTTATTTTATTTTTTTACAGATTTTAAAACTTTTTAAAAATGTATACAGGGTGTTTCGAAAAATCTGGTCATTGATTAATCACGATCCTGCTTAAAGCGCTTGACGTAAAAAGCTGATTTTTGGACAACGGGTTGACTTTAGGGTGTACACGTTCGATAAGAAGGGATTTTTCGAAACTCAAAAAAAACTCGTTCCTCCAAAGGAACTAGAATTGACACCTCTAGTGGTTCGGAGTGTTTAGTTTTCGGCCTAAATACTCCAAGAAGCATCAGTATACCAAGTTATGGTATGATCTGATAATATATGGTGACTCCTGATCATTTTTGAGGAAAAAAATATTACTGATTTTTTTTCTGGTTTCTTTTGATGGCATATCTTTTCCATTACGTATTTCCACGCCAATGGAGTGTACGAGTAGACGTAGAGTCAAAGTAACACATCGATCTGTATCTGCCGTCGATCTCTCCATTATTAATGCGAGTTAGCCTAAAGTTAGAGCGCGGACAGGAGCATGAGTGGAGGGTGGGGCACGTAGGGACGGAAACAGGGGGTCGAGTGCAGACAGGCCTTCAAGCACAGTGGACCGAAAGATCGAAAGTACTAAGGAACGGTATTTATAATCTTTAACCAACTTTTTTATTATATTTTTTAATTTTTAATTAGCTTATCTCTTACTGAATTATATGTATAAGCTTTATATAGGGTTGTACACCACATACGACGCGGAGTATTGTAGCTAAAAGATTAGATTTTTACAAATTGTTAGTTTTGTATAATTTAAAAATAATTTTACAGGATACAGAGTGTGCAAAATAAGTCAAAAATATTATAGTTGATTTTTTTTAAATGGGACACCCTGTATAATATTCTATTTTTAGATTCTACGATTGAAATAAAGGTAAATTTGATTAAGGTTTATCACACTTAAACCTTACCGTTTTTATAATATTTTCAATTTTATGAAATTGCAGTAAAAAAATTAAGGCTTCATTTCTCCAAGGGTATCAAAGTTTTTAATACTAAATATTTACTGAAGATTATTTATTGATCAGATATTGTGTTGCAATAATAAACAAAATACTGCCTTATACAGAGTGTCGAAAAATTTATATTAATTACTAGCTTTAAACGGCAATAACTTGTTTAAATTAAATGGAACACCCTGTATATTTTACAAGAATCAGTTGCACAATTTAATTGTTTACCAAATTGTATTATACAATTTTTATCTGTCTCTTCAAGTTTTTAATTTGGAATACATTTTAGGAATGCATATATTTTTTATTTTTGGTAGAAAATATATTTTCTGATAATTTAGACTATTTTATTAATTAAAACAATTAAGTATGTAATTAACTAATTTTTGGAATATTACGAAATATGACGAAAAAAAAACGATCTTTTTTTTCAAAACTTTGACACCCTGTATCTCGGGAAGGAAGCGTTTTAGAACACATGTTTATATGAATTTTATATCTTTAAAATACTTAAACAATGACCCTGTGCATTATCGGAGACTTATTAAACAAAAAAGTATATTATTTTTGTCCGTCCCTTACTAATAACTCAAACCCACTGTGCGAAAAGCCAAATAGAATTCGGGAACCTGGTTCAATTTAGGAAAACCGGTAAAATGCGAGGTTGAAATTAAGGCCCTTTGAGGGAGTGTGAGAGTTTCGCGAAGACTAAGCGCGAAACTTTCTTACACACGTCCTCCTCCTCACACCTCCCAGTCCTCCTTTTCCTCCTCCTTCGGCGTGAGGCAACAGGGGGGAGGCGAGGGAATGAGAGGGGGACTGGCTGGAAAGGGCAAAGTTGTCACCAAACGTGAAAGTGAAAGTTTTAATGATAATGGACTGTGTCAGCATATATCGATGTGATTTTCCTTTACAAGGGAATATAAGAACAAGAAAAAATAAAGAGAAAAACAAGAAGAAATGTGGGGAAAACTTACTAATAAGATTTTTTTTTGGATTGAAAAAATACTGTAAATTAATTTACATACATGTTCCCAAAATTTCATTTAAACACAAACTGTCGTTCTCCTTGGAGACTCCCACCCTGTATACATATATGTATTTTATTTATTATATTCTGATTGTTATATAATCCAAATATGTAAAAAATCCAGTAACAATTTGAGAAATAAACGTTAAATAACCAAATATAAATTATTAATAAACTGTTACCTCAAAATGTCTGCGTACATCTGCAGAAGACAAATTTAAGAACCTTTGACAAGCTCCAGGGTTACAAAAACATCCAGTTCTGAGCTGAATGTTGTGCAAATTTGCCATGTGGAGTACCTAAAAAAATATCACAAAAACACTGTTTATTAGACAGAGAAATACCAGTAAAAAAATATTTTTAATTTCATTAAAATTTAAGATGTTATTGTATTCTGTATTTACTTCTGCATATCCAACATATTTTCCATCAGGCCTTTTCAAATTAAAATTTACTATTCCACCCTGTACATTTCTGTCTTGAAACTCGCTGTCATGATACAATACAGCGACTGTTGAACCGTTGTAATGCTTCATAGAAGTCATGGTGTTGTAAACATGCTTGGCTAGAGCAAATGTATGCTTTGAAATAAGATTTGGATTGAGATCTAGACGTTTTAGTGTATCGAATCCATGTTTTAAAGAAAGAATTGATAAAAAATTTAGTGTACCATCTTCAAATCTGCAAAAAAAACAGAATATACCTACAGTAAAACCTGGTTATAATGTACCAGCCGAAAACATATGCTTAGCTTTTGATTTTTTACTACTAGGCCTATTATTTCGAATCACCCACTGGAGCCAAGTTTTTCTTTACAAAAATATAGCACACTTGATATTTTGTTATATCTATATAACTATATAGTAATATAGTTCTAAAAGTTCGCCACTTTTAACTAGTAGGCTTTGGACCCCTTATTGATGATCTGCCCCTAATGGAACTCGAAAACATATTTTTCCAGCAAGACGAGGCACCGATCGCCTCAGAACGCTGAAGTTATCAGCAAATTTTTGCAGCCAATTTCGAAAATAATTGAATAGCTAACCAAGATCCCAGCAGTTGGCCATCGAGGCCGCCGGACTTAGTGCCTATGGATTTTTATCTTTGCGGAAGAATAAAGATTCTTACTTTTAAATTGCCCATATAGTCTAGATAAGGATTAGAAGAACTTTAGCGGTTATGCGAGGGTATCTTTTACCCCTACTGAGTTAATGAATTCCGCGAGAAATGTTCAAAAACGGTCCCGTCTGTCCATAACAGAAGACGATCGATATATGTCGAACATCTGTAGCAAAATCTCATGTCTTGGTTTGCTATTTATTTTTATTGTTATTAGATATAGTTTAAAGGTGTTGATGTTGTTAAATATAGTTTAAATTGTTGCAAAATTCTGCATCTCTCATTGCAAATATTATTTTCTTTTTAATTGTTGCTCACAGCTAGAATTTTTTTGCATTACAGCCGGCGCCGTTCAAAGCCTACTTATTTAAGTGGGCGAATTTTTAAAAACTCTATATCTCGAAGAGGAATCGAGCAAAATATCAAGTACACTATATTTTTGGAACGGTAATTTTATATTATTTTCAGTGAATTAAAAATATACAGGGTGTCCCATATAAAAAATCAAATTTTCTGTTGATAATTTTTAATATATTAATTTTAAAAAAATTATACTTAAACCATTAAATTCTACGTAAAAAGGGGCTATGGAAATGTATTCATAAAAATACAAAATTTTTCATAGCAAAAAAGTTACAGCGATTTGTTAAAAATGCACATTTTTTAAAAACACCCCGTATCAGCCAAGGGCGTAGATAAGGGGGGGGGGGGTACTGGGGGACAGTACCCCCCCCCCCCTGACGCTTGACGAGATACGAGAATTGAAATAGTCATTGACTATGAAAGGATTTTTTTTAATTAATATCCGATATATAAGAACAATTTGTATGCTTTTAATTATGTTGATTTATCGTTTATAATATGTTCGACCTAATTAAAAGCATACAAAGTGTTCTTATTGGCCAGGACAGATTAGTGGGGTTAACTCTAATCAATATCCATAAAGATATTGAAATAAATGTTGATGCTGTTATTGATAGGTTTTCCAAACAGCGTTCTAGAAAACTTGATTTTGTTTTGTAGTTTTATTTATAGTTTATAGTTTTTATAGTTTTTTTTGATAGTTTAGAGTTTTTTATTTATAGTTTATAGAAAATTAACTAATAAACGTCGTTGTTTCATTTTTGTTTATGTTATTTACAAATCTATATTTTAATTTAGTTATTAGTTATGTTTTTATATCTTTTTGAAGACAAAAAAATCGCCGTCGTTTTAATTCAACAAAAAAATTCCGACGGTGATTTTTTTTGCGACTTAATCATAGTACCACCCCCATAGCATACACCTATCTACGCCCCTGGTATCAGCTATCGATGTGCGGTTTTCACCATCATGTTTTTGATAAAAATTGAGCTCCAGACACCGACATTAGTTTTCGTCTATCTCCTATAGAAAAAGGTGTTTCTCTTTAAAAGCGTCCAATTTGGTCGGTCCTGTACATTCATGGTAAGTCATCCACTGAGAGTTAAGGGGAGTGGATTTTATTACTTTATATTTTATTAATTTTACTGCATTTACATAAAAAATCTGAAAGTAATGTAGAGAACACACACTTTTTTGTATAAAAATATTATAGCTCTGTTTAAAGTAAAAAAAAAAGGGAAAAAGAATAACAAATATAGGTGATATTTCATATTCCGTTTATGTTCGGTTCTATTCGACTGCCTTTTGGAATCAGTCGACCCAGAAAAAAACAACGAGCAGCTAGCATTGGATTTTTATTTTACATTGCTTTTATATTTCCACATTCTTTTCCCTTTATCCTGTCCATGAAAAACAGGACACAAAATAGATTGGATTATGCGAGACAGAATAATAAAATAGTTAAAAGAGAATAAAAAAAGAGTACATAATATAAAGAATATATTGAACAAAAATTTGATTGAATTGAACAAAAAATATATTTTTATAAATACCTTTCGTAAATATTAGGCCTGGGAATCATCACATTTTCCGTTGACAAAGCCATCAAAACGGTACCCCCACCAAAATACGTTTTTTCCAACAGGTTTTCCGCGTTTTTCTTTACCAAAAGTGCTCCTAATCCCGTAGGATACCCGAAAATCTTATAAAAAGATATAGGGACAAAATCAGGTCTGTATTTGGATAAATCCAGGTTGTTTGTTGAAACGTAACACGCAGCGTCTAGCACTGTGTACCATTGATGTTTTTTATCGATTAATTCGTTAAGACAACCTTTCTTAATCTCATTTAGCCATTGAAGAGGGTATTTCGTACCTAAAAAGTATAAAAAATTAAAGATTATGCATTGACTAGAAGTAACACAATATTCTGTACACATATCCCTCCCACATCAAATTTTTGATTTGAGACTAGAACTTTATTTTCTCTTTACAAAATATGAAAACCTTTCCAGTGGAGGTGTTAAAAACTGTAAAGGTCGGGTATTTATGACATAATTTCATGTAAAGATTGTAGTTAAAAATATGTTAGGTAATTTGATATCACTTTTTTTATAAAGATCATTGTATGAATGTTAATAACTTAAAATTAATCAAACACTTAGATAATATGAACTTTAATCATCTACTGATGATGCTAACATGGTTAGCAAAACACGTAACTAGGCATTTTGGTGCATTGTGGTCAATTAGTGTTTTATTTTGCTGTTATAATACCAAAAGTTCCAACCTCTAACTGTAATTATACGAATTATTTAATTATTATTACCAGAAAAATTACTCTGGGCAGGATAAACAAACAGACCATTCCCGCAACATATACTTTCATCTTCTTTATATTCTTCATGGTATTTTTCAAAAATTCTATAAGCTTCTTCTGTTTTGATTTTTTTAAAGTCAGCAAAATGTCTCATTCCGAGCACTGAAGTGTGGTTGTCCTCAAGATAGACAAGAGTACCACCATCAAAATTGAATGTTTCACTGATGATTTTCAAGGCTTGTGTAGCTCCGGATGTAAAGATTACTGAGTATTCATCAGGGTTTGTGTGAAAAAAGCTTAAAATTCTGAAAAAGGTGATATTTTATTTTAAAATTATAAATAATGTTCTTCTGTATCTTAAAATATTGAATAAAGTAGCTTTTACCCTCGAAATTTCATTCAAATCGCTAAAAGCACTTGTAAGAAAATTATAATTTATAATTATAATGTCGAAATAAAAAAATAATCTTATTTTTAGGCGAGGAATCTCTCCGCGAGAGATAGTACATGTATTGTGAAACACCCTGTATAGTTATTTAAAAAGAAATGTTATTTGTATTACTGATATCTAATGATGTCTAATGAATCCTGCGTTGCTTGGCTAGATGTGCTTCGTGCATGAGGATTGCTATAAATACTGCATGATAAGTCTTTGAATGTGTTTTCTAATTGATGCTCTGAATACAGGGTGGATCCTGCATGATCCAGGTAGCACATTCCTGAAAATAAGGTTATAGATAGTAGAATAAAGTACAACAAACAAAAAAAAAACAATATTAAACAAATTTATTATGAATTTAAGTGTTTTTTTTAGCATTACTGACTTTATATTGGTTTTTCCATAAAAAACTGTAGAATTGTACCAAGATGTATTTCAGGAAAACATTTTAACTTCTATAGGGTGGCTCAAAAAAGTGTGACTGGATCTGGATGATTTTTTTTAAATGGAACACCTTGTATATTATTGTATTTTTGGCTTTCTCTCATATCATTTTACATACTCCTAAGATATGGGCAAGTATATTTTTATAGTTTCAGAGATATTAATAAATAAGGCAAAAATATATATTTTTCAACCCTTCTTAAAAAACTTATTAAAAATACATGAACTGTTCTGAAATCGAAACTATATTAGGTATTTACTTTAGAGAGTCTGTTCTTACTTTGTTATAAATATGGTAAAAGTAAATCATACAGGGTGTTCAAAATTCCATGCCAAACTTTCTAAAATATAAACTAATTTTTCCTTGTTTTTTATTAAATGGAACACCCTGTATATTATTTTTTTTATTAGATGGAGAGTTAAAAAATAAATATATTATTAAGCGATTCAAAATTTTTAAAAGTTTTCCGGATACATGCAGTATTATTTCATATTAGTGATGTGTCGGTATTTGAGTAACGCGATTTTGGAGCGGTATTTATTTGTAACGTCGTGTCGCGTTCCACAACGAATCAGGAACCTGTTACTGAAGAACGGCGACAAAATTATAAATTATCTATAATTTGCAAATAAATTATTTATAACCGCTCTTGAAGTTAGCTCGAACCGTAGTAACCGCATCGCGACGTGTTTAGCTCCAGCCAACGGGATTTCGTCGGTCGCCAACAGTAGTAACTGGAACTGGTATGTACGTAGCGTCGCGCGTGTTCGCTCCAGCCGTCGCGCTCCTAGAGCCGTAGTTCCGCCTGTCGCGAACAGAAGTAACTGGTAGCTGCTATAACTAATTATCGACGCTCGACCTCGGCGGCAACGTACTTCGCTCCAGCCGTCGGCGTCGTGCTCCTAGAATTGTAGTTCCGTCTGTCGCGAACAGAAGTAACTGGTTCCTGCTGTAACTGATTATCGACGCTCGACCTCGGCGGCGACGTACTTCAGTTAATTAGAGTTTAACTAGAGTTCCGGTTTTGCCTGTCGCGATTTGGTCGGTTACTATTGGCGTTGGTGTTCCCGGCGCTATGTTACTTTCGAAATAGCAATTTTTGGTATTTACTAGACATACATATCAGCGTTGTTTGAAAGATGAAACGCAAAAGCAAATAAAATAAAATAAAAATATTTTATTTGCTTTTATACATTTATATAAGTTTTTATTGACAAAAGCCAGTATCTGGGAGGGTTTTATAGAGGGTGATTCTCCATCTCCAACATCAGTTGTATCTAAGTTTATGCCACGAATGGTTGTAACACCTAGTAGAATTGTTAGAACCTGACAACACTGGTTGGAAGTAGGTAGGTACTAATGCCAGAAATACTGCATAAGCGTGATACTTTGGAAGTCGGAACCTCGGTTACAAAATCGCGGTATTTGTCGCGATATTTTTCTGGAACGGTCGCTATTGTAACGCGACTCATGTGGAACCGGTATTCCCATCACCATTTCATATGGCTCTCTCAACGGTAAAATACCAGAGAAAAATCATTGGGTGGCTTTGATAAAAATTTGCTGTTTAAAATGGCCATATGAAATATAAAACCCCGAATATCTGCCGTTAAAAAATTATAATTAATACAGTAAATACAAAAAACGTTCATTTTTTAATTCTCCATCCATTGAAAAAAATATACAGGGTGTTCCAAACGAGGCAAAATTATTTTATATTTTAGAAAGTTTGGCATAGGATTTTGAACATCCTGTATGATTTACGATTACCATATCTCTGGCAAAGCAAGTACAGACCATCTGAAGTAAATACCTAATATAGTTCGGATTTCAGGACAGTTCTGGTATTTTTAATAATTTTTTTAGAAAGGCTGAAAAATATATATTTTTTAATTTATTTATTAATATCTCTGAAATTATCGAAATATATTTACTCATATTTTAGAAATTTGTAAAGTGATCTGAAAGCCAAAAATGCAATAATATACATGGTGTTCCATATAAAAAATCAACTCGATCCACTCACATTTTTTTGAGCATGTATAAGTTAAAATATTTTCCTGAAACACATTCTAGTGCATACTTTAGGTTTGCACTTATACAAAATTCACAAGTTTTTTTTATTCTATTTCTACAGATGCCCGACGAACTATTGCCGAACCCTGTGTAAAAAATAATACTTTTAGTACCTTCAAGTCTATCAAATTCCTGTCGTATTTTACCCAATTGCTCATCACTATAAACACTTATTTCGGGTTCATTCATTTCAACTATATTAGAAAACACTCTGTGTACTATTATTATAAGAAAAAAGATGTTTAAGTGTACCGAAACGCTAGAGAAATAATTGAAAACACTTGATTTCTTGTGTGATTATTGATTTCTATTTTATTTAAACTATTTACCAAGAAACAGTAGACGAAACTGGGAACAAGAATAACAATAAGCGCTGTATGTATCTTATCAGTGCAGTGATTGTTTATGTACGTTTTAAAAGATAAATTTGTTGGTTGGAAATATGTTGGAATTTACGTCAAATTACATCTTGTAACTTATATATATATATGTCATTAAATCTAATAACAAATAAGTGTATGAGCGTCATACTAAGCATATGGATAATAAATATTGTAATTGGTGTTCAAAAACAACGCTATAAAACTGATATGATATATTTTATTAATAGATGAACATAAAATCTTATAGATACTGTAGGTATATCCTGTCATAAAATCTAGTTACGGTATGTTTTCTCAGGTTATTGGTTTATAGAATATTGACATTTTTATAACTAATTGTTTTTCAAATTTCAATTTTCTTATATTTTCTAAAACTAAATTTTCCTTTAATGGGATACAAATGTGGGATAGCAACTTTTAAAATTGCCTTATATCTATCAAAAATAGTAGATAAAATAGTACTTTAATCGCAAGGATAGATTAAATGATACTTTAACAGCTAGGATAGGTTAAAAACTTCTTCTCGCACGTTTTTTAATTGCTTCCATTTTTGAAAAATTTTGTATTCCTTTTCATAAGTTATTCGGGATTTAAATGGAAGTAGTTTGGATATTATGGCTTTTGTCGCCTCAGCCTGAATATCTGTTGGTAAGTTAGTTATTTCGTTTTGGGCCATTTCCGCCTCCAATTCAATCAGCAATCGACACGAAAGAGAATTAAAAAATATTGACTCAAAACTGACAACTGAAGAGACAGCTTTATTTATTTGTCAAATTACATAGAAACCAACGCCAACCCAGCACAATATTTTTTCTACTCGTAATAAATTCCTTGAAATAATTTTTGAATATTTTTTAAAACGTAACTCGCTATGGAAAAAGTATTGTTTTATACACGGCGATAAAATTGCATTATCGTCTGCCGAAATTAATCTTTTCGGTCAACGATAAAATACCATTTTATGGTCTTGTATAAAAAATAACTATTTTCATATTCAAATGGTTAATTTTTACATAGTATTACTGTAATAAAATTTTACTTTATTTTTCTGCCTGTATACAGGGTGTTTCAAAACAAATGCGAAAAACTTCAGGGTGTGATTCCTTGTTAAAAATAAAGGGTAGTTTGCTTTATAAACGTTGGGTCAAAATTGATCCATTAGGGAGATATCGCGGTACAAAGGTGGCGGAAAAATAATGTTTATTTTTTTATCTTTATATATATTCTATATTTTTTTTATCTTTAACATGCAAAAAAATTAATTTGGATAGTTTAGTTTGTTTAGATACTTTTTTATCTCTTGTGTTTTTTGATAAAACTCACCGATTTGAAATTAAAAAATAAAATGTAAAGCATTACATGTCAGGACTAAAAATATTTTTAGATTAAGAATCTAGTGATAATAATGATAATAATAATAATCTAGATAATAACGTATTGCAGTAGGGTAATGTCAAATAAAAGAATAATAGAAACACCCTAAAAAGTGACAGCGGCCGACTAGATTTTTTCCTAAAAAAATTACAGCTGCCTACTTGATTCTTTATCTAAAAATGTTTTTTGTCCTGACATGTAATGCTTTACATTTTATTTTTTAATTTCAAATCGGCGAGTTTTATCAAAAAAATACAAGAGATAAAAAAGTTTCTAAATAAACTAAACTATCAAAATTATTTTTTTTTGCATGTGTTTGATAAGATCTTTCTTTAAATTTCATTAACAAGAATGATAGGGGTAGTTTATTTCAACCCCTTCCACTCATTTTAAAAAAGTGAAAAAGTTACCAGAAAGTGTGTTTTCATAACAGTAATGCTTCCGTAAAATTTCATTAGTCTATCTCTTTTCGTTTTCAAGATAAAAAATAAAAACATTATTTTTCCGCCATCTTTGTACCGCGATATCTCCCTAATGGTCGACTTTTGACCCAACGTTTATAAAGCAAACTACCCTTTATTTTGAGCAAGGAATCACCCCCTGAAGTTTTTTGCATTTGTTTTGAAACACCCTGTATATCAAATAGAGACGAAATAGGGGAAGAAAGATTATAAAAGACCCAGGTCAGGAGAAACCGGCAAAAACAAAGCCATTTCCTTGAGGGAAGTAAAAGAAAAGTCATTCATCTTTCCCGAATAAATTTTTGTAGAAAAGGGGGAAGCGATTCCCCCCATCTTTCTATGTTTAAAATTCCGCCAACACACGTTATCATTTATTTCTCTGTCTGAGAAACGTACGAAAACGTTTCTGAAGGTGTTAGGTATCCCCATCTTCAGTAAGCATGCATTTTAGGTCTTATGCAGTTATATACTAGATATTTTTAGGATTTTCTGGCTAATAAATGTTTTTCTTTCAAATTATGAGGTTGTATTAGATTATTTAATTTTTTTTTTCAAGATTTTTTTAATTTGAAAAACATTCACTTAATGTTTTAAGAAGAATATATTACGAACATCTTTCAAAACACCAAATACACTTAGATCCATTTTAACACACAATAAACCAATGAACACTGAACAACAAACAAAAAATGTAATATACAAAAATACAAACTACCATGTGAATGTGATAAATTTTATATTGGTGAAACATCTAGACTCTCCAATGTTCGAATTAAAGAACACAAAGATTATTTAAGAATTTCATGGGACACAGGGCACAGAATAGATTTTAACAACGACAAAATTATAATGAAAGAAGCGATAGGGTCTAAAAGAAAAATGAAAGAGGCTTTTTTAATACAATCTAATAAAAATAAATGTATTGCTCATGCATCTGTAGATGTTAGTAATGAATGGCAATCGCTTCTTTGATTTTAAAGAACATAACATAAAAAAACATAACATACGTAAAAATTAAAAACAAATTAAAACTAATCATACAGAAAGTTTGACGCTTTCTGGTTTTACCTTATTAAGTAATTGTTAATTTTGAAGTTTAACTGGATATAATATCATTTTAACAGAACGTCAATGGTTTTTGTAGATGTATCTGTTTAAAAAAAAGCATTTAGATATATTAAATAGTTTTTTCTTTGTTCTTTGTGTTTTTCTGTTTCCGACGACGGAAAGAGATATACTTTCCGAAACGTTCCAATAATTTTTAACCTAACCAATAATTTTTCTTCAGTAAATTACTGAAATTACTGTAAAAAATGGTATAAAGATAATCTATAAATTCTATAAAAAAAAAGCTATATTCCGAAATAGAATTAACCTGTATTATTTAATAAATATCAAATAAATACCAAAAAAATTGTCCATATAAATCATTGCTCGCGTGCCTACTGTTTGTTTTTCCATGTTTTCCATATTTTCCAAATTTAGATAACAGGTATGACCTTTTTCTGTGTGTTTTTGTTCTCCACCATCCATTAGAAATAATCTAGGCTTTCGGTATCGGCTTTCCATTAAACGGTAAAATTTCACTAACGTGAGTGTTTTTCTTTGATTTTTTCCTGTATATCTAAAAAGCTTTACGACTATTAAGGGAAATGTTGCCCGATGTCTATTCCTTGACCTTTTTGGCTTAATATTAATATTATTTATCGTTCTATTCAGTCTATATACCCATAATATAGAAAATAATTATTATCATTCGTCTAAATCTCGTCTACCGTCGCTTAACTTAAAAATTATGATATACAGGGTGGTCCGAACTGTATTCCGGAAATTTCGGCAGCATATTCTGCAGATAAAAATAAGTAAAAAAGTTCGTATAAATGTATGTCCTAAAATACTTAGTTTTACAGATACAGGGTGTAGAAGCTTTATTTCTATTTCGATTTTAATAAATTCTGAAGTAACGTTACTATTTGGATGAAAATTGGTGTTTGGGAGTTTTTTGACATGAGAAATTTGATTTTGATGTCAATATAACTCCTACTTGTAGAGGGCGCCACCTACATATTTTTAACTGGTTTAAAAAGTAATAACTTTTCGTCCGTACCTGTATCAAACTACCGAGTAAAAAAATATACATTTGCGACGTTTTTTAAACGGTTTTATTTAGCTCGACCCGTACGGTATTTATTTATTTGGGTCAAAATTAGAAATTGAAATTTAAGTACCTTCCTGTTGTCAGATTGATCTAAAATTTGGTACACACCTTTAGTTCCGATGACAATACAATATAGTAATATCAATAACATTGTAAATCTAAGATGGCCGCCGGTACAAAATGGCGGATTTCATATTTTTCCACTACTCCCTCAATATGGGTATCAAATGAAAGGGTTACACTAGTAGAATACTGTGATTATGACAAAATTTAAAATCCAAGATGGACGTCGTTACAAAATGGCGTATTAGGTGAGGGCATGAGTAGTCGTGTCCAGAACAGTTGTGTCCAAGATTGTGACGGCATACACGTTATACACCCGAAAGCCATACAGTTTCCAGCAAAATTCAATTATGGTACGGCTGAAAGAAGGATGTTACCCTTAATTTTGTCATGGGCATCCACCGTCCATAAAATGCAGGGCAGCACAGTCGACCATGCAGTAGTGTATTTGGGCTCAAAATTGTTTGAGGAAGGGCAAGCATACGTGGCTCTAAGTCGAGTCAAGTCTCTGGAAGGGCTATGTATTGAGGAATTAGATTGTAATAAATTATCAGGTAAAAAAAACATGTAATAATGATGCACTAAATGAATTAAATAGAATGAGGAATATTCGGTAGGCATTTGCGTTAAATACTAAAAACCAGAAAATAAAAAATCGGTAAAAAAAACTTTTAAGTTAAACGGTTTTATCTTATGTGCACTGAAAACTAGAAAATAATAATAACAATTAGGTATTTTGAACTTCTAGTT